TCTCTCTCTCTCTCCGCTATTCCTAACACATTGCAATCATCAGGTTTATGTGTGCCGCAATGAATGTAGTGCAAGAACACATGATCTACTTACCATTCGGTGCTTGCTTCGAACATTCGTCGTTGCCTCCAGTACTGAGAAATCGGTCTGATAAATCATGTTGCATCTCTCTTCGGGATATGAAATCAACGTTTGTATTCATTCTGCTGTGAGTTGTAAGCAGTGAACTGAATTGATGCGATGTTTTTATCAGCATCATTTAAGTGTTTTCATGATGACGTCACTGCCTTGGGTTTTTCTTTTCTGCTATCAACACTCAACAGAAACGAAACTCATTGTTTGAGTTGTAACGTAACAGATAATGAGGAAATAATTTTAACTGAGCATATCTCGGACATGGCTCATTTCTGACGTGTGGAAAACGAATGGGGTTGTTGTTTGCGGAAGGGAGTGTTGGAGTTAGTCTGTAGCAAACGTTAAGCACGGAAAACTCAACAATGAACGTAAAAGATGACAAAAATCGGTTGATTGAATAGCCTTGTGCCTAGCATATCTCATGCATATCTTGAGGAGTATATCTATCCACATAAGAGATGTGCACGGATACCATTTTTCGACGCGTTCCCGACGCGAATTTTTCACCAGTACCCGACCCGAGAGCTTCGTATCCGTACCCGTCCCGTACCCGACTCACGCCTAATAATTTCCTCCGTTTCGTTTGAAAGTAAAAACCTTTTTTCGTCGGCTGCAGATGTCAAGTTATCATTATGTTCACAAGTAACTCTTTTAGAACATCATAAATAAAATGTTTGGATTTTCCACTAAAACGTTCTGGTTTTCGGATAAATTAAAAAGAACGGAACCCGTACCGATAACTGCTTCATCCGTACCCGTCAACCTCTGCCTGTACCCAAGCTTCGGGTCGGGTTGCACATCTTTAATCCTCATAGGTTCATAGCTAGGGCAACCCGTAAAAAATAATCTTTAATCGATAGCTGAAGAAGAGATTTGAAAATCCTAGGTGAATTTAAAAATGTCCAAAGTGGCAAAAAGCGACGAGAAAAGGAATAGGTTTGAGAGAAATGCTGCCTGATCATCCTGATCGTTCAAGAGAGATGTGTCGGAAGAAAGCAGGAGATAAACCATGCTGTTTTTCAAGAAAGATGCCACGCTTGGGACCAGATGTTTGATTTAGGTCTTCGTTTGTTTACCAGAGATCCAAGGTCCTCAAAACCCGAAAAATTCTTTCGGATTTTTCATAGATCCTTGATTTTCTAGAAAACTAAGGCTTCATTCAAAAATCGGCTCCTATCAACCCACGCATTCGTTGGCCTGTTTTAGGTCATGTAGGAAAATGCTTGTAATTTTTGAACGCAAGATCACACAGTTGTGCACCGTCTTATTTTGATCAGAAAAGTCTGCTCTACAAATCTACATGTTCAGAAAAAATTTACTTGCGTAAGTGTCGAGAAGAAAATTATTATTTAAAGACCCTGACTTTCGAGACGTCTAGAAAGCGTGCTCGAAAACCACCAAGAACGAAGCAATAATCTAAGCCATCATCATACTCGTCCTATGTCAATCGAGAAAAATGGTAAAATTGTTACATATGTTCGACACAAAAGTCAAAAATTCTCAAACTCTTGTTTTATTTGACTAGATGTAAAATAAAAAGAATAGAGAGACAATGTACATAAATAACAAACACAAAAAAAGAAAAGAAATCAAGAGAAGAACTTATGTGGATCGCATGTTAATGAAAAATGCTTGAATAATGCTAAAATGTTGATGTGTTAAAATCTTTTTTATTCTCGAATATTGATCATCAGTTACATCAAACTGACAACAATAATCGACAAAATCTCGAATGGAAGAAAATTCTTGACATAATTGCAATGCTTTAACATAATCAATATAAGGTAATTGCATATACAATTTTATTTCATCTTTATTGAAACATCGTTGACGTAGTTTTTCAATATTAATCGAGCAATTGTCATTTTTCTCATTTTGTATCAATTTTATTAAAATCGAACATGTTTGTTGACTATTTTCACTGAAATAACATCGAATATCGAATAATAACAAATCGGTTAATAACATTGAAAAATATTTTGACATGGATTTACCTAGAATAAAAATGAATTATTTTACTATTTAGATTCTCCTTAAAATTAATATAAATGATTTTTACCATTGAAAAATGTTGTTGTTGTTGATGCTAAATTATCCATTTTTGATTTTGATTTAACAAATGTTGTCTGTGTTTTAATTCGATCTTTTTCGATAATAATAGCCAAATGTTCATAATATCCATTTTGTTTCATTTTTTTTAAAATATCAAATTGTGAACGATTTGAAGTGTGTACATCTGATAAATGAACATGTTCAACGTACAAACGAGTACTTAAAATAAAACAGGGTGATATTGAATTATAATTTCCCAATGATTCAATATTAACATTGATAGGTAGTTGAGTATTTGTACGAAGACAATTGATAATTTCTTGACAAGTTGCCAATTGTTTAACATCAATAAATATTGGATATGGATGAGTAGATGATATATCAGCTGCTGTAGATTTATCTATATTTAGAAAAATGTAAGTTAAGAATATTGATGAAAAAAAGTATTATACCTACCATCGCTAATATCAATTGAAGATGTTGGATGTTCAATTTTTGGTGAATTTGGTGGACTTTGAGCACACATAACACGTCGAAGACGTTGTTGTGGTGCTTGTTTTGGTGTTGTTCGTCCATACACTTTTCCTCTTCTTGTTATTTTTTGTTGATGAATGGCCGATTGTGTACCAAGAATATCAACTAATTCTTCCATATCAACTTCACCATCATAATTATTTAACACTTCCACATCATTTTTTACTACAAAATCATCATCATCATCGTATGTTTCATTGATCATCGAATCCGTTGGAAATTGCGAATAAATCATTGATTCTAGAATTGATACTTGTTTCTCTTCTCTCTGAATATCTAAAGTATGAAAAAGAAAGAGAAAGACTTTAGAAATAGTAAGGTAATAATATTGTAAGCTGATTACGTTTCGGTCTAAATGGACTCTTGACACTTGTTAAATATACTTGTGTCATATCAACATCAGCTGCTTGTGTCAAATGAAATCGATCATCGATAAATCCGTTCTCCTCTTGTTCATTTTCTTCATCGTCTTCATCCGATGAGATAATAACACCAGTTTCTGTAAAATCAAGTACTGCTTCACGGTCTATAAAATCTGATCCGATTCGTTGTTTTAATTGACGACGTTGTCGTTGTTGCTGATGACGATCCAACAACTCATTTGTACTTTTAGATTTTTTATAAAAATGAACATCAGGCGTTGCTGATAATTGTCGAACACGTTTTTTAGATGAACATAGACGAATTGGTGTATCATAATCACTTTGATATTTTGTTGTATTAATGGTATTCGTAGATAAATTAATGGCACTAAAATAGAATTCCATATTCAAACAGCAGATACGACAGAATATATAAATGCCACCCTTTGTATTTTTACCATGTAGACTGTTTTTCATTTTATTTTCTACAGAAAATATATTGAATATTTTTCTATATACTGTAAAAATAAAAAAGTATAGAGAAAAATACAGCAAAACCTCCATCTTAATAATTTTCCAATCTCAAACACTTTTTATCAATTTAAGTTTCTCGTATTTTGAGACATAAAAAAGAGAAAATTGCCATTTTGTAGCGCTTGAAAAACCCTAGCAAC